CCTCTTCATAGGCAACTCTCCCCAATGAGGAACAACCACTGTTTTGATTTTTATCGCAATACATACTTACGTGTGTAGTTTGTTTGTTTGTTTTGGCCTGGTTTCTTTTTCTCAGCACAGTGCTTTTCAGATAGATCCAGTGCTGTTTATTTATTAGTAGTTTATGCCTTTTTAAGATGTGTAGTATTCCAATGTATGGTTGTGCCATAGTTTGTTTACACTTTGTTCCTCTTGATGGGCATCTAGGGTTTAGGTCTTACGTTTAAAGCTATATGGACATACGTTTTCAGTTCTCTTGGATAAATACTTTGGAGAGGACAGATCATAGGGTAGGTGCATGTTTAACTTTTTAAGAATCTGGCCCTTTTCCAAAATGGCTGTACCATTGTACATTCCCAGCAGCAGTGTAGGAGAGCTCTTGCTGCTCCACACCGTGCCAGAATTTGGTGTAGTCAGTCATATTCTTCACTGATTCTAGCGGGTGTGAAGTGGTATGCTTTTGTGTGATAATTTGCATTTCTCTGGTGACTAATAGTGTCAGTTACTTTGTTATGTGCTCATGGGCCTTTCATACATGTTCTCCAGTGGAGTGCCTGTATACATATCCACTTACTTATTTTTAGCTTTTTGGGTTGTAGTTCTTTTGTATTCTATATATAAATACTTTTTCAGGTTTATGCATTATGAATATTTCCTCCCAATCTGTGGCTTTCCTAATTTCTTAATTATGTTTGTTTTAAAGAATACGTTAAAAAACGTATTCTTTCTCAGGGTACGTTTCAAGTAGTGAATTCCTCTTGACTTACCTGAGGAGAAACTCCATGTGCACAGACTGAAGTATGGAGTCTATCCAAGGCTTGAAGTATCCAACTTTCTACTACTTAGAGTTGCTTATTATAGTTAAAATCTCTGTGCCTCCTGGAAAATAAAATGGTAGCATTATTGATGATTATTTCTTCAGTCTGTGCCTCACATTCTTTCCATTTTGTTGCGGTTGAATTTTTGCCAAGAGCTCATCTGACTAAGTGGAAAGTTTCCTAGGTGTTGTTCTCAAATTCTTGATTTTCACATGACACAGCTTCTTCTGAAAGAGTTGCTTTACTTAAGAGAGAAAAAAGTAAGAGTTCCAGGGTTTCAGTGAAAAAGTCTGGTCTTCTTGAAAATATCTTGTTGAAGAAGGAAACTTTTGCAAAAAAAGGGTTTTGGTTGTGGGGATTACATTCCAAGCATTTAGGAAGCCTGGGAGGTGGGAACTTTCAAATAACACCAAAATGTACTTATTAGACTATTATTCTCACTTTCTATTACTAATCATGCGTGGTTCCAGTCTCAGCTGGCAGTGAGTGGGGAAGCCTCTTGTGTGTTGTTGATTAGGCCCTTCTCCAGTTTTCCAAATCGGCTGTTCTGAACCTTCATCTATAGTCTCATCCTAACCTGAAGTGTATCCCTTTCCCATCCACTTAATGAAAAGACGTCAGGCATTTAGTAAAAAACATAGTGTCTGTCCATGAGGAATTAACAATCTAGATAAAACTTTAACTCTTATATGTGTACATTTATTTAACTATGTATACGTCTGCTCTGTTCTACTCTTGTGTTTGGGAAGAGCCACCTCTCATTTTGTGTAAAGTTGATTCCTCCGCCTGCATTGTGTTTTACCCACTTGCATTTATGTCTTTGATGTGACTTAGTTTTTTTAAAAGGCAAATTCTTTCTCAGTGTATGTTTCAAGTAGTGAATTCTTTGTGTAGCTTCCCCATCAATTGTTCTTTCTTTTTTCTCTAACACCAGCCACTTGTCCAATTTTGTCTTTCCTTCAAAACATAAATTTAGTACCCAGCTTTGTATCAAGCTGATTAGTGGACTTTCCTTAATTCTATGTCTAGTTCAGATAAATGTCACTAAAGATATATTTTCACTACTGTCTCACAAGAAAGTACCAAAGAGGTGGACGAGCCAGATAAAATATAGAGCATCTAGTTAAATTTGAATCTCAGATAGACAATGAATAATTTTTTTAGTGTAAGTATGTCCTATTCATCATACAAATAATGTCCCCATACAGCATTTGGGATATACTTATACTGTGAAAGTATTCAAACTCAAATTGAACTGAACATCCTCTTTTTTTGTACTCTGAATTGGGCAGCTCTGCAAAGGGGGCGCTGTTCCTAATGCTCACGGGAACCCCTGGAAGTCAGCATTCTCTCTCTCTCTCTCTTTCTGTCTCCTGGAGGCCTCCTCACCCTCACTCCCATCCTAAGCTTCCAACCAAGAACAACTGGCTCAGTCTAAACCGTCTCTTCTTTATCCAATTTTTTTTTTTTTCATTGCACAGAGGCTCTCAATTTCACAGTAAATCTTTGGCTTCTTCACTGTGTACCACACCCACCCTTCGCTGTTACCCACGTGAAAACACCAGAGGTGGTCCTGGCGCAACTACTCCTGACGCCTCCTTGCTCTGGGAAGGCGGGGGAGTGAGGTTGTGAATACGAGTCGTCCATTGTCTTCCCCTGTCGAGTAGGCTGAAGTTGCAGATCAAAACAAATTCTTCTACTTTGCTTCCTCTAACATTGCAACTTAAAGGGTGTATTCCTCTCTGCTACCTTCTACAGTGCACTGCAGCCTGGATTCTTCGCTTAAACACCACTAAGTCAACTTCTGCTGGGATCACTTGCCCTCCTGGTTGCCTGTGGGTTTTCCTGCAATTCTCCTCATTTACCTTCTGATGAAGGCCGTCAGGTACACGTGGTGAGCTAGCGGCGGCCTGCCCGAGGTGGGGAGTGGCTGGGGGCCGAGGTCCAGCTGGCACTCAGCCCTCCAGCCCGTGGGCTCCTTCCTAGGCTATGAGGCCCAGTAAGTAACACATCTCACCTCCCCAGAGTCCCGACAACTATGGAAAGAAAGTTGAAGAATTCAGGCAATGGGGAACAGAATGTTTATGACAGACAGACAGACTGAAAGACAGGAGTAAGTGTGAGCCAGCAACGGGGGTTCTGATTCTGGTCCTCAGAATTAGACAGACATAGAAACCAGTCCCAGAGATTACTGGGCTCTCAACGTAGGTCATTGCCTGGGAAACCCTAGGGCGGATGAGTAGACCAGAGTGTGTGCTTCCTCGGGACAGCTGGTGCCCGGCCACGGAGTGCGGGGCGGCGGCCCTCTCAAACCACCAGCAGGCTGTGTCAGGGACTGGAGGTGTGGGGCACCTCTTGTGAGTCACTTCAGATTCTGCCACCCCACCTCCTCGTCGAGCTCCTAGGGGGGCTGCCAGCTCTGCACCAGCCTTCAATATGTGAGCATTGCGACCGGACAGCACTGCGCCTCACATTTAGCTTCCAGCTCCAGGGCTTTCCTAACATTGTGGTGTGGGGTGTGCATGCTTGACACACATCCAAGTGCACCCTGAGTTAACACCCAGCGGGCCAGCCGGGGGCCAATGGAGGCGAGACCAGAAGAAAATGCTTCCTTTGTTCCCTCTGGGTGGACATATCTGAGATACACCCTAGAAGGTTTCTCCGAAGGTCCGGGGGACCCTGTACAGCGGCCCGCTTAGCGCAGCCGTTGTGTGAGCTTTCCCTCTCTCCCTGGTCCACTTCTGCTGCCGCTTCTGCTCCCTGGGATATTTCCCAGGTTAATGACAGGTGTGCAAGACTTTGTCTGAGGCTCCATTTTCAGGGAATCCAGGCTAAGACTCTAGGGGAGGAGGAGGGAAGAGGGTGGAGGACTCTGCTGATGGATCTCCTTCTATGTGGAAGGGAAAACCAAACGGAGCACAAGTACTGCTCCTCTGATGGGGAAGATAAGAGGGGGACCAGCTAGACTGAGGATGAAAAGCCTTTGGTCAGCCCACTTCTCAGGTAGCAAGACAGCTGTGAAAATCAGTCTTCTTATTGGATTGCAAGCGAGATCAAAACAGGATGAAAAGGATCAGCCTTAACCATGGACACGAGGCTTCCAAGGGGCGGAAACCCCAGCAGAAGTGGCTCGCATCAGAAAACATCACTCTGAGCACAGGAAGCCAGGACAGATTCGGGCCTCTCTCCAGTTCTCTGTGGTTGGTAGTGTACACCTATTTTTATGAAAACTATGGGCCCCGTGGATGTTAGGGCAATAACTTCGCACCTAACTGTTCTAGTTTCTGTGTCTTGTAGAATGGTTTAATTTTAACTAAGAGGACATCATGTGCGCTGCAGATGGAGAGAAACATCACTGGCTGTGAAGCCCTTCCTCACATCACGAGGGCAGTGCACCTGCCATCACAGCTTCTGTTCGGGCAGTGGCATCAGCCTGGGGGCTGCACCTTGTATCACATAGAAAAGTGTAGCCTTTGGGAAGTTAGGCTTGTCTCATAGTGCTGAGTCCTGCCACTGCACACCCCAAACGTCTTTTGTCTCCAGCTTTCATCCCTACCCCAAATCTATAATCCTTCTTATGAAGTACTGAATCATAGCTCTGAACTCACTTTAGGTACGGTGGCTTGTTGCTCCTACCAAGCTTTTAAACTGAAACCACAGAATAACTTTTGCTTGAGCTCATTCTTGCGTTCTTATTATGGGACAGGAATTACCTGTCAGCAGATTGCTGGAGCTCCATGCAAGAGAACTCAGATGTTGGGATGAATGTGCCCCAGGCCAGGAAGTGTCCATGAGGGCTGGGATCTTTCCTGCTGAGTAGCTTTGTGCCATGCACACTGACACAAGCAGGCCCTGGGATTCTGGATGTGGCACTGCCAGCTTGCATGTGGTCAAGTTACTCTTTTTAGAAAGAGAGCTTATTTTCTTGAATAGAGGTTAGGCTTGTGACTGCTCCCCCATTCACAAGGCAGAAAGAAGGTAAGGACTGGGTCCTTCTCCAGAAAGCCCCTGCTGTTCTGAGAGTCCCGGGGATACAGAGCAGCTCTGGGTCACCTTGAGAGGGACTTCCTGCTCGGGGCTGTCCTCTGTGCCCAGCAGGTGTAGAGCTGAATCACCAAGGACACAATTGGAAAGGGAGGAGCAAAAAGCGAAGGCTTTATGTTTCCTCTTGGGGACACAGCTCGAATCTCACCTGCCGAACTGTCCACTTCACCACCGGAAAGCAACAAAGGTAAAGAGAAGTATTTCTGTACTTTATTATCTCAGCTGAGCTTGTTGTCAGAGAGGACCAGATGAGGGCAGAAAGCTTCACATTTGGGCACCTATGTAATGAATGAAATGAGAGGACAGCTTATTCTTTAATCGAGAGTGGCTTTTGTTGACCTTTTGAGTGCACTGATTTGGTGGTTAATACATTAACACTGATAGTGTACATTTAAACATTCTTGAGGCGGGCTGCCTTGATCTCAAATCTCTGACCCAGTTAACAAAATGGAACTCTGTTGATATTTTCTACTTATTTGCTAGTGATCCTTACTCAAAATAGAGCTAGTCACACATGGTTGTAGCCTCTGTGTGATAAAACACAGTTCCTCAGAAGACCCTAACTTCACAGGACTGGCTTCATTGATATTTTGATATGTTGGGAAGAATGCCTTGATTTCCTGGATCTCAGTACTTTCTTCCTAGGGCTTTAAAATTAGTCTCTGAAGTGGTCAGTGTATTCTGCAATGGGTGTAAAGTCTCATGGTTTGTGTTTGTGTGATGGGGTGACATTGTGAAGTTCCTGCTATTTCTAGGAAATGACCACATGTGACATTTTGAACGTTTGAAGGATGGAGAGTGAGAGTAAAGTAACAGCTCTGGTTCCGGGAAGGGAAGGTAGGCACTAATAAAGGGAAGGCAGGGAAGAAGTGTCTTGTGAAATGGGTAGGAATCTATCTGCCCAGGCTGTGTGCCAGGCTGTCTTCGCTACCCTTGGAGGTGCATTTCCCCCAAAAGGACGGGCACAGACCTTGTGTCCTCTGGCAATACTTTAGTCTCAATATCCTCTTCTAAACCTGTTCCCTCCTCACATTTCCGGTAGAGTTCTTCCTTCTGGAAATTCCCCTTTTTAACCTAGAAGGGCTTCAGCCTACGGCATCTGTATTTTCCTGGTTTTCTCCAATGACAGCTTCCAGATGACACATTTGATTTGCATGGGAGGGATTTTTCTCATCCTCAAAGCAGACAAAAAGGTACACTAAAGGATGTTTTCTGCAATGCGTTCCCTTTTTGGGGCTCAATTTAAAGCCCTTCTACCTCTGGGCACAACTTTCCCTTACCATCTGGGGGAGCCCTCTGTGGAGTCTGTGCATCTGTGATAGGATTCTATATGCTCTTGGACTTCTGTGTTCAGTGGGTTCCTCTGTTCTGAAATTGACTGGGCAATCTAATTAGATTAGAAATTGCAAGATATTTAGAATGATGATTTAAAAAAATACGTATTGGCTTCTGGGTGATTATGCAAGACACTGATAATTTCACAGGTACATTTTCCCTGACTTCAAGGAACATTAAATTTTGTGAGAAAGATTAACATATTCAGCAAACAAGAATCTAAGTTCATCCACGTTTGTGTACTCGTGACAATCACTCAGATGTAGAGGAAACTGTCGATTAAGGCTACTGCATAAAATCAGCTGATTGTATGATTAACATGGGTGTTGTGAAAGAGCTCTGCCCATTAGCAGCTAGAAAGGTGGAATTTTGGAAAATGAATGGAGAGAGTAGGGATCTTAAGTGCTAGGTTAATGGTAGTTAAAACTCTGCTTTGCAAATAAACATGCCAAATGCCAAAGTTCATGAATTAAGTCTAATTGTGTATTCTCAGTAATTTTTGAGAAAAACCCAAACATAAAGTTTTTCTTCTTGGTACTGTCAAAGAAATACTTACTGTTAAGTTAGGCAGATAATAGTGTAATTGTTAGCCATTAATTATAAGAATAGCCTGTTCATGCTTTGTAGCTGGGATAGAATTTCCTAATTTTTTGGTAAGATGTTATCTTTATAAAATAGAGATAATAATCATAAAATAAAATCATTTTATCTCAGATAAAAGCTGATTTGAATAGTATATGGTAGCAAGTGGAAAGGGAGTAGTTTCAGAAGAGAACAACTGACAGACCTTCCTCAGGTCACTGATGACGTGTGAATTCCTGAGCTCTCGCTCCCTCATCTCCAAAACTGGGGGAACATTTCCCATTCGGGGACTTAAATTCTGAATAATGTACACAGTGCTTGGCACATACACGAACCCTGTGATTCAGCCGTTTCCTCTGCACAGAAATTCTCCCGCAGCTGTGTAAGGGGTGTGTATGAGGAAGCCCCTCACAACATTGCTTGTGCTGGTGTGGGGCTGGTGGCCTTTTGGGTGTTTGTCCTGAGGAGTGCAAGACACTGAGAATTTCACAGGTACCTTTAGGCAAAATTGGTGAAAGAGCAAAAACACAGTGCTCAGAAGGACCAGATTATGTTTCCAGAGTAACATGAGCGAATCTTAAAAATTTAGTACTAAGTGAAAACAAATTATTTAACATAAGCTCGTTTATACAAATAAAAAATGCATAAAATAAAGAAATAAATATTTTATAAGAACACATGTAAAAAACAGAATGGCTTATGCCAGGAAATGAGGGGAGTGGCTACCTCAGCCTTTGATGCTTGTGGTTAAGAAAGAAAAGCAAACAAATACATAGTATAACGTGCCTGGTACACATGCGTGGTCTATCTGTGCATTCCACACTCTTTCTCTAATCCCCCAGTAACTATAGGGCTCAAGAACTATGATGTGTAGGCAGGATGCTTTATAATAACAATATGGCATAGATTGTTTAAGATGAATAAATTTACATTTACTTACAAATTTGAAATTGCATTCTAGAACCTGACTCCAGTAGTCAACTCCATTTGCTAGAATGAAGAGTGTCTGGCTTCATTTATTGGACCAAAACTGGTTTTGTTATTAAGGTAATTAAGCAAAAGGCTCTCAAGGACATTATCATTAGATGTCACAGAGAACTGTATTAAAACTGACTTGAAGACCAGAACCCTGTTAAAGGCACATACTAGTGTTTTCATTAAATAAGATTAGCAAAACTTGTGTGTTACACCTTTAAAAAAACCTGTCAAGAGCAAAGAAAACTATGCTCCAGGCTTGTTATAACTGCTGGGCTCTGTTATACTAGGTGGGATGGTCCGATTGGAACATGTGCATCTACTCGTTCATGATTATTGTAGGACAACCAGTTGCAATTACAGGAATATGTCAACCCCATTTTTGCTGTAGTCCACAAGTGACACGTCTTCCCCTTTTGGTCTCTCTGCCTGAGAAGTGCTGAGCGGGCCCTTCCTCCCTGCCCCAGTTCTGAGGCTTTCGCCCAAGGCTCTCTTTGGCTATTAGCATGCAAAGGCACTACATTTTAGTGAGGAGCATGACGCAGATGCCTAAGTCAGTACCCAGCTGGGTCATACCCGAGAGAACACACTTCCAGTGAGCTCAGCTGAGATACGCCAGCAGAAAGTACAAGGTAAGGTAGTAACTAAAAGAAATATATACGGAAGGAGATACAGACTGGTCGTCTGTCGTAATAGTCTAGAGAATACTGGCCTAGAGTCAGATTCTGAAAGAGCACAAAGCTGTAATTCAGAAGATGAGAAGTAGAATGACCGTGAGGTGAGGGTGCTCATCGGTGCTCAGGGGCCGGGGGTATAGAGAAGCCCCTCAGGTGAGCTGGGACTGGGATGCTTTTTAATTGCAGGCATCAGCAGACACACCAGCAGGATCCCAAGCAGAAGAAAATGCTATCATCATAGATGACAAGAAATCTCAAGGTAGAGCAGGGAGGGTTACCCCAACCACACCGTGTGTGTCGACAGACTCAGGTTCCTGTCCTTCCTCTCTGACATCTGGCTTGTCATGGGCTGCCTCCAGCACGGTCACAAACAGCTGCTGTGATAGTAGTGGCACAAGGACACAGCAACTCTGAGAGGAAGAAGAGGGATGACTTCCTCCTGCGAGTCTCTTGTTACCAGAGGGAAGCCTTTTCCCAAAGTCCTTCAGTAGCATCTTCTCCTGTCTTTTTGGCCAGACTTATGGCACCTGATTCTCACAGTTTTACTTTCTACCTCCCAACTTTATTGAGGTTTAATTGACAAATAGGATTGTATATATTTAAAGTGTATAATTGTGATGATTTCTGTACATATACATTGTGAGATGATTATCAAGAGCAAGATAATTAACACATCCATCACCTCACATAATTAACTCTGTATGTGTGTCTGTGCGTGCACACACACATGTGTATATGGTGTGGCTGCTTAAGATTTCCTCTCAGCAACCTTCACATACAGAGCGCCATATTATTAACTGTAGTCACAATGCTGTCCATTAGATCTTCAGAACTTACTCTTACTGTAACTGAAAGTTTGTATAATTCATTGCTGACATAAGATAGATTAACTCAATTAGCTTAAACTAATCAAGGCTTGCTCCTGGGTGTGTGGAGAGCATGGAACACATGGTTTCATGGAATCTTAGCACAGATGAAGGGAATGCAAGTATGAAGTATGTATGTACAAACTAGGGTAAGTAAATATAAATACATAAATACATGAACAGTACAAGAGGGGCAGAAGGGTATAGAAGACAGGGGCTCAAACCTTGGGTATATATATGTTACATATATACTAAGGTAATGGGATGGAGGGTAACTGGAGGGATGTGGGCTGATATTTCAAACAGAATGGTTAGTGAAAGTCTTAAGACATCCTATCTGAGCAGAGAGAGGTAAGTGAATTGCTGGCGTGTGCTGTTTGGTTATCTTTGAGAAGAGCATCCCGGCAGAGAGATAGAAAGTGCAAAGGCCCTGAGGTGGAATCTGCTCCGTGCTTGGCATGTTGAAGGCATGCAGGGAGGTGACAGAGCTAGAACAGAGTGAGCTGGCGGGAGGCTGGTAAGAGATGAGGTCTGAGAGGCAGCAGGGACCAGATCACAAAGTCCGGTGCGTCACGTAAAGGAGCTCAGCTTCTGCTCTGTGAGAAAGGGAAGCCACTGGAGTATTGAGCTGGGGCCATCCATAGTCGTCCTTATGCACATAGTACATGGCCTGTCTGCTGGTATCGTCTCACTTCCATGAAAGGTACAGGAAATGAGGTCCCACCAAGGAGATACAAATGTGCAGAGAAAGCTTCCCGAGTTTGCTTTATTGACTATCACCTTGTTTGTGCAAGAAGGACCAGAGTGGAAGTGGCTGGGATGGTAGGCAGTCCGGTGGGAACGCATGTCATTCAGCTGAGCTTGCGTAGCTCAAGAAGTTTTCTGGATGAATTCCAGGATAAGGAGTGTCTTAAAATGTGGAAGTTAAGAGCACAAAGGACTAATTCCTTCTGCTTTTTTGCTCCAGAACAATTACAGATCACTTTTAAAGGCGCATGCGTGATATTGATATAGCTTTGAACTATTGGCTGAAAAGAATAGTACATCTTCTAGTGTTTAGAATCTAAAACTACTGTGAATCCCCCTTCTAGCCCTTACTAATCCCACAAAAATTGTGGTGAGGATGGAATTTTTCATGAAGTCTTCCAACTTAAATTCATGAAATGTAATAACTGAACTCTCTCTATATAATCTGTACCTTTAATGATATTCTGAGATTTTTCCCCTTCTCTTCTCAGAAGGCAGTGCTAGGCGTAAAATGGATTCCCTCAGCACAGCAAACGTTGAATTTTGCCTTGATATGTTTAAAGAGCTGACCAGTAACCACGTAGGAGATAACATCTTCTTCTCACCGCTGAGTCTGCTGTATGCTCTAAGTATGCTCCTCCTTGGTGCCAGGGGAAACAGTGCAAAGCAGATGGAAAAGGTATGGAATGCAGCAACGATTTCCCCACAGCCGTAGAGTCTTATATGCGCCCATCTGGGTCACATCTGTATACCAAGAAAACTGCCATCTAGTAAAAGAAGAAACACATATGGGCAAATCATATTTCTTAAGAGTAAATAATGGCTTAAATAATGAGATACATTATAATGCAAGTCACACAATACATGTGATCCATCGTCCCTTCCTTACCATAGGTGGCTTCACATGTCCATTTCTGAAGTTTGCTTTTAGAGTTCATCCTTGCAGTGATTTAAACATGACAGAGAACACGTGTGTGGTACTATCCTTGCCCTTTAGAACTTTCACTTAAAATGAAATTGAGCAACACTTTAAAAGTTGTCAAGTTTTTAAAAATATTCATAAGTACCTTTGAAGTTTCTAACAGCACTGTTTGGCAGGCAGGATTCTTATTCCCATTTTACAGATGGAGAAATTTAAAGAGAAAGGGTGGCTTCAGTTTACAGAGTCTGGCATGCAGTGATTTTTACATTACATATTTTTTTAATTGCTCTGGGAAGTCTAGAAGAATGTCATCTTAACAACTCATAGGATACTCATATATCTTATTATTGTTTGTTTTTATTTCTTTATTCCATATTTTGAGGCACTTTAATGATTTCCTTACACTTAAAGTAGGTATTGTAATGATGCATGACCCTGATGGACACCGTTGTAGTGCATGGCCTGAGAATAGTCCGAGAGTGGCAGAGGGCATAGAAGACCCGGGCTTGAACCCTGGAGCTGACAGGCTGTGGTCTGGGACACACTGATCAATCTCTCTTGGGCCCAATTTCCCTAACATAACATGGGGATAACAGCATCTACTTATGAAGTTGTTGGGGAGGGTGAGTGAGTTGTGGAAAGGCTTAGCTTAGGACTTGGGATAGCATTGAATGTTAGCTCTCACTATTGGTCTTTATCTAAAATGGAAAGACAGATACATGTAACTGCTTGCTCTCTAGACTGTATGTTGCTTTTGATGCCAGTCAATCCCTTTTTCTTTTTCTAGGTGCTTCACTTTAATCATATTGCAGGATCATTAAAACCAGACTTCGTGGACTCAGCTAAGGTATGATGATACCTCTGCTGAGCAGTCAAATGCTCCTTGACATGGGAGCACCAAGGAAATAGTCCAGGGGTCGAGTAGCAGAGCCCCCACTTTGGCCCCTAGGGAGCTAGCGATGCCTCCCTTGGCCTACTCCTAAGATATTCCTGGTCATTGTTGCAGCCTGTAGAGTTTAGCATAATGATGATAATGATAAGAACAACAATAATAAAGTCCCCTAGATTTTATCATATGATTTATTGTCATCATCAAACATTTCTTTTCTTTTATGGGCTAGGCACCCGGCTGAGTCTTCCTTGTCTATGCAGTGTTAGATGTTTTTCAGTCCAGTTAGGGGACCAATAAGCCCCTGGGGCCTAACATTGCCTAAACCACACGCTTGGAGACTGTGGTCCCTGGTTCTTTCTAGCAGAAAGATTCCTTTTGACATCAAAATTATGTAGAACTCCCACATGAAAGTAGTTATGTGTTTGAGTATGATGAATTTTGAAAATACATAAATGCATGTAGAGTCAGAGAATACCTGCTTTGCAGAACAGAACTTACTGTTGGGAGATTAAAACTCATAGTTTGGGAAATGTTGCTTTGGGGAATATAGGCATAAGCCCTGTGATGGCCGAGAATGTGGATGCATCGAAGCCGCCTAACAAAACTGCTCCTGTGAGGGACAGACGGGTGTGTAAGGTCACTCAGGGCAAGGCTGACGCGACTGACTAAGTGGTCACCCAGAAAATGGAGACACTGAGAGCAGTGTGATAAGGAAATGATTCTATAGGTTCAAAGACAGCAACAAAAGTCAGATGGTTGCCCTGAATAGCCCGCCAGGATCTCTTCATGTAGGAACCCAAATGCTTTTGGAGTGAACTGTCAGGCCGGTGAGTGCACGTGTGCTTTGTAATGGCTTATGGTTCTGTGTGCGGCCGGTGGCCAAGGCTGTGGAGTGCTGAGAGTACTGCGCTAGAGGAAAGGCAGAGAAGGAAATGCTTCAACTGCTGATTCCTTGTTTACAGTTCTCATTGCCCTTTTATTCAGAGGCGAACACCTTATTCTCTACTCACTGTTTTCACATAATTTATAACTTTCCAGTGGCGAGAAATCAAGCAACTAAATACTCCATTCTGTTTCCTGGTGTTCCAGTGCAGCCAAGCTGGAAGGATTCATTCAGAGCTTGGAGTCTTATTCTCTCTAATCAACCAGCCAGACTCTAACCATAGCCTCAGCATCGCCAGCAGACTCTATGCAACCAAGGCGATGGCTGTCCGTCAGGTAAGCTCCCCTGGGACGGTGGTCGGCAGCTTTCTTGGCATCCTCTGGCTTTCACACCATAAAATAAATAAAGAGTAAGAGTCACATGGCATTCATCTTTGACAGATTAAGTCGAAGCTGATTTAGAGTGAAATGGTTTTACCAAACTCTTATTCAGAGCTGTAAAATGTTACATAAAAGCTTTGCTTCCACAAAAATCACCCAAGTTGTCTGAGAACCTAGGTCAGGGATGAAGCACCAAACAAAGCAGGTACGAGTTACCCCTTAAGGATCAGGAGATGAACAAGGCGCACTTCTCATCTCTTCCTGAAAGGTCCTTGATGGGAGAGTATCAGGAGCTACTGGAAAGTACTGGGCTGGGAGCCAAGAGACCCAAGTCCTGACCCACTTAGACAGGTGACTTTGAGCAAGTCACTTCTGTCTTTAAGACGAGAGGATTGAACTACGTTCTTTCTAGCTCCAGAAAGTTCTTCCAACCCTACGTATGCCATTTCCCAAGGGCATTGTAATTTATAGTTTTACTGAGTGTTTGCTATGTGCAACTCACTCCACTCAATACATTAAAGGCATTATCACAAACTGTCCTTACATAGTCCTAAGATGTAAGCACGTTGCTGTCTTGAATTCTACAACTGTGAGGCAGATTCTGACAGCTGGCAAAGGTCGTAGAGATAATTAAGGGGCAAACCTGAATTTGACCCCTATCTAAATCCATCTTCCTGTTTTTATTTGCTACATCATGTGGCTACACCGAGGTGAAATGCTAGCTTCATGATGGAGCTTCTGTTTGTCCAGTGTTATTTAAATGCCAGCCGGGTGAAGCAGGATGAAGCTCTGAATTTCTAATGTTCTTCCCTAGCTGGTCACACAGGCTGTGTCTTAAACGTGGCAAGCTTTTGATTGTCAGAATTTTTGCAACTTGGGGTAACCCTCTGCTACTTTAGGTATTTCCTCTCCTGCCCTAGAAGCATATAAGGTATGGTTTATGGAGAGTGTCTGCGGAAGTGGTGGGGGTTATCAGTTATCGGAGGGGGTCGTTGGAGTTGCCTCTTTGTCTCCCCAAAACAGTGACTGGATATAAGAGTAGATAAATGTTGATTTGGAGTAATGACGAGGGAGGAGCTCCTCATCAGTATCATGAAGACTGTCATGATCTGCAGCGTGAAATATTATTACCCCAGGATTCTGTTGGAAAAATTCCCATCTTATGGGCACTGGGCAGTCCCTTAAGCTGGACTGCCAGCCACAGTTGGACCAGCTCAGGACAAGAATCATCCCAAGGCCCAGATTTTGCTGTTAGTTATTATTTCCTTTTGCTCTATGATGGATTTGGGCACAAAAGAATCCAGTTAAGCAAATGGCAAGCCAGACCCCAGCCAGCCACTTAGCACCTGCCATATTTCTAAGTCTTACGTCCTCCTTCCCAGTTCATGGTGGGGAACTGGACTCTGCTGGACCATAGAGATATGTCCCCACTACCTCAAGAATGGAATTGCAGGCAGTGTCATCTGGGCCCATGTAGACTTGGCTGCTTGCTGCCTTAACAGCGAGGCAGTGGAAAGTTCCCGGTTCTAGGAATCAAAGGCCATGGGGGTGGTAACCAGTGGGAGCTCCAGAATGCTGTATTGGGGCTAATTTGGGGGTGAGAATTTGGTTTAAAGAGAGAGCTGGGTTCTTTAGACTGAATTTGCAACACTATTTTTACTTGGATGGAATAGGTTAATAAAACAGTAAATCCCTTAGGATATTCTTGTTCACTTTTTACATCAAAATGTAGAAATGTCAATTGTCTACATCAGAGAATATTATCCTCATTAATTTTATATATAGTGGCTTGTGGAGAGGTTAATATATACCATGGGGAGACCTATCTTCAGGGTACCAAATCAAACCAGCGGATCCCTGGTTCTCTGTCCGAGGTTTCCTGTCCAGCACAGCACAGCAGGAGGTCCCTGCATGGAGGAGGGCAGCGAGAGCGCCAGGAGGCGTGCCCTGTGTTGCTGTTCACTGTTTTGCTTTGTACATTTTAGAACTAGGGGTGCCAGTGATATGATGGAGGGAACAACCACCCATTTCTGAACATTCCTGTTGGAAAGCTTTTTTGTTTTGGTTGAATTGATTTGTTTTATTAGGAACACGTGTATATGGATTCTGTTTCCTTTCAGACATATATTCATGAGCGCCTTTTGCCTGTGTGTTATGATTTGAGAATACATCGAGCTGCAGGCTTTTGTTCCCCTTATGCTATTTTTGTGCTGCTGTGCCACGCTTCTCTCTTTTACAGCAATATTTAAGCTGTTCTGAGAAACTGTATGAAGCCAGGCTGCAAACTGTCGATTTTGAACAGTCTACAGAAGAAACAAGGAAAGCAATTAATGCTTGGGTTGAAAGTAAAACTAATGGTAAGAATAAGTCATGCTTGCGTCTCCAAACTTTATCACGCCGTGTTTTTTAGCGCTCAGAGTCATTGCTAGCAGGGGAGGTGGGTGAAGCCCAGAGCCCGACACAGACAGGTCCACAGTGGAGGAAGTGGGGGTACATTTTGGAATATCCCTTCTAAATGATCCAAGCCATTCCTGAGAATGAAAACATCTACTTCATACAAGTGGTGTTGCACATACTGCAATGAAATGTAATTAAGTTTAAATCTACTTTTCACAATTTAAAAATAAACCCCACACATGGTTAAGTATTTCTTTTAAAAACATGGCAGATTAAATCTCTATCAAAGACCTGTTCATTTTGTTAGTTAAAAACATTGAATTAGTAAAGATTGTAAGAAAAAAGGTAAGGAGAGTAAGATAGTGAATCTTTATTTACCCATCTCTTAGCTGCACCAATTATTTCTCAGAGCTTATCTGTGTCTGTACCTTTCTCTACTTTCTACTACGTCTTCCATATTATTTTGGAGCAAATCTCAGATATCATATCTTTATTTCTATATTTTCAGTCATTTCTAAAAAAATGTAGGCTATTTAAAAAATATATACCACTACACCATCATTACATCTAGAAAATCGGTTGTCTCTTTTTTTGTTTGAATCAGGACCCAAATAACGTTTATGCATTGCAGTTGGTCAGTATGTTCTTACACATTGACCAAAAAGCAAGCTTTTTTTGATTGAAATATACGTAACCTTAGAAAAATTCCTACATTATATGGTTGCTTTTTCATGAATTATCACAAAGCAGAAATTATTACAAAAGTGAATATCCTTCTGTACCGCTACCCAGGGCAGGAAAACAAAACATTAGTTACTGGGAAGGGTGCACCCCAGAGCCACTCTGGCTTCCTCCCAGAAACTAACCAGTCCCACTCCCAAACATTAAGGTTTCTCTTATTATATATTAGTTCTGCCTATTTTTAAATTTAATGTAATTGGAATCATAAATCATGTGTTTAGTTTTTTTTTTTAGCTCAACATTTTGTTTGTGAGATTCATCCATGTGGTTTCATTTTGCATGGCATGGTCCTTTTCATTGACGTCTATTTTGTTCTCTGAATGTACCTAAATATATTTATCCATTCTCCTGTGTTTTGATGAACATTAGGACAATCTTATTTTGTGTCTATTATGAATAGTGCTGCTATGAGCATTTTGATGCATATCTTTTGGTTAACATATTTTATGCAATTTTGTTGGATATATACCTTGGAATGGAATTGCTGATTGTAAAGCATGAATATATTCAATCTGAGTAGATGCCAAATAGTTTTCTAAAGTGGTTTTACACAGTTTCCTCACCCAAGCAATAAATGAGAATTTCATTTGTTTCTCACCTTTGTGAATACTTGGTATTGTCAGTCTTTAATTTGTATTTCCCTTATGAATTATATAGCTGAATGTTTCTTTATATGCTTCATGTGCTCCTTTGTGAGGTGCCTGTTTAAATCTCTTGCCCATATGTAAGGCTGGTTTGCTTTTTTCTTACAAATTTTTAATTCTTTGCATATACTGAATACATATGTTGCAAGTAACTTCCACCATTTTGCATCTTGTCTTTTCCCTGTCTCAGTGGTGCCTTTGATGAATGGAAGTGCTCATTTCAAAGGAGTAAAATTCACCATGAAATATGCTTACTTCATGAAATTAGTTAGCAAATGTTCCTCCTCTTTTTCTAATTTTCAAAAGAGTTTATCTAAGATTGGTGTTATTTTTTCCCTTTAAATGGTTGAAAGAATTCAGAATGAGTTCCCTGGTTTTGTGTTTTCTGTGTGCAAAGATTTTAGTTAGAGATTTCATTTCTCTAATAAATATAGCTCTACTTATATTTTTTGTTTCTTTTAGTGTAAATTTTTGAATTGTTTTTCAAGGAATCTTTCTGCTTTATCTGTATTTTCAAATGTATTAGCATAAAATTGCTCATAGTAGTCTTGTATTATCTTAATGTCTTTTGGATATATAGTGTTGTCTCCTTTTTCATTTCTGCCAATCAGAATTATGCATTTTTTCTCTTATTCTTAATTAGACTTGTTATGGATTTATTATTTTTTAGTCTTTTCAAAGAATCAACTTCTGGGCCTATTCTATTATAAATGTTTCTAGCACATCAATATTTATGATTATCTTTTTAATTTTCTTTTTTCTACTCTCTCTGATATTAAATTGCTGCTCTTTTTCTAATTTCTTGAGATGAACAATTGATGCTCAGCCCTTCTTTTTTCTCATATATACATTTAAGACAATGAATTTCCTTCCAGGTATAGCTTTAACTCCATCTCACAATTTTTCATTAGTTGTATTTCCGCTGTCATTCAGTTCAAAATATTTTCTAGTTTCCACTGAGATTTCTCCCCTGACTCATGGGATATTTAAAAGTGTTGTTTGTATTTCCTTTGCAAGCATCTGGGAATTTTACAGTTGTTTGATTAGTTACTGATTCCTAGCTCAATTCTATTGTAATTAGAGAACATAAGAATTCAATTACTTGAAATTTATGAAGACTTTTTTAATAGTACAACATGTTTTGATTTTGGAAAAAGTTCTCTGCTCACTTGAAATAATGTATTCTTTAGTTGTTGGGTGAGATGTTTGAATTTTATCAGTTACTGTGATGTCTTCATTTGCATATCCATGCTTATTTTTTGTCTGCTTATTTATCATTTACTGAGAAAGTTGTATTAAAACCTTTCACTATGATTGTGGATTTTCTATTTCTCCTTTTAGTTATGCCCTATTGTGCTGTACATATTTGGAGGTATGTTATTAGGTCCATTGATATTTAGAACTGCCATTTTGCATCTTGTTTTTTCCCTGTCTTGGTGGTGCCTTTGATGAATGGAAGTGCTAATTTCAAAGGAGTAAAATTTACCATGAAATAACGCTTACTTCATGAAATTAGTTAGCAAATGTTCCTCCTCTTTTTCTAATTTTCAAAAGAGTTTATCTAAGATTGGTGTTATTTTTTCCCTTTAAATGGTTGAAAGAATTTAACCATTGGTGCTTTTGTCATGAAATATCCCTTCCACTTTGCCGGACCCTGAACTCCAATTACCGTTGGTGCTTGAACAACACAGGTTTGAACTGTGAGGTCCACTTATATGTGGATTTTAAAAATAAGTATATTAGAAGGTTTTTTTTGAGATTTGTGACAATTTGAAACAACATGTTCTTTTGTCTAGCTTATTTTATTGTAAGATTACAGTATATTTCTGCTTCCTCTTTTTTTCTCTGTAGACAGTTTGTTGAAGAAAACAGACATTTATCCTGCAGTTTTCCATAATCTAGGTATTGATGACTTCACCTTGAAATGTCATTTAAAAATTCCCTCCATTTTTATATTTCCTTTACATTGGTAATGAGAGTTAGAAACTTGGTACGTTTCAGATTAGGCTCCAGATTTCTTGTTACTATTCAATTCTGTTATCAATAAATTCAAGTTCAAATCTGAATATGTTATCTATTTTTTTCTTTTTCTATTATAAGGAAAAGTCACAAACCTCTTTGGAAAGGGCACACTTGACCCGTCTTGTGTAATGGTCCTGGTGAATGCTGTATATTTCAAAGGACAATGGCAAAATAAATTTCAGCAAAGAGAGACACTTAAAAGCCCTTTTCAGCTATGTGAGGTAAGTATTTCATTTTCAGATTAATGATAAATTTTGGAGAATGCAAATTTGGAGAACTGAAAAAAAGTTGAAGAATGCATTTAATGGCAATTTAGAAACTTTTAGTGAAAATACTGACCCCTTGGTTTCTATAGCTTCCTTTAATTATGTTTTCTCTGAATTTTATTTTTTACTTTTCCTTGAAGAGGGATAGCAACCTTTCTCACAGGACACCTACCTAGAGCCTTTGAACCTGAGACGCCCTGGCAGAGGAGAAAACCTGTTCTTTTTCCATTGCTCCCCTGTCTATGCATTCTTTCCTGTGGTTTTATTTTCTATGTCATTTTTCCGTATAAATCATTTTAGGTGGAAGCTCAGGCTTTGTTTTTGGGAAACATTATTGTTATTATGTATGACTAAATATCATACATTTGATATACATATTGCTATATATATTATTCAGACTAGTCAGGCTCTAACATTAACTTAATAAAATGAAAAAATCTGTAACCTTTGAAAAGCAAAGTAATAAGGGGTGTGCTTTGTAGTTTAGATTTATCCATGCCTTTAGAGTATTAATGCATATATTCATGTTATGCAAGAATATCAGTATACATACCTGTGCATGCACATATGTAACTGTATCATCTAATTATATCTTTTCTTTTTTTTTAAATAGGGTAAAAGTGTAATGGTGGAAATGATGTGTCAAACTGGAACATTTAAATTAGCCTCCATAAAGGAGCCACAGATGCAAGTTCTTGAGCTGCCTTATGTTAACAACAAACTAAGTATGATTATTCTGCTTCCCATAGGCACAGTTAGTCTAGAACAGGTAAAGTTACAAGAATGCTAACATGCAACAAAAGCATGTGTGCACGTGCATGCACACATGCTTTCCACATGCACACATGCTTCCCCACATTATGTGTATCCCATGATATTGGTGTGGTCAGTCACTAAGCCAGTCACACACTGGGTTTAGCAGTATTGCCACAGGGGCTATGGGAGGAAGGGGAACGAACACCTGGTCCCTGGCTTCAGGACAGTGCATTTAGGAAGAACAATCTATTCTTATTTTTAAAAAGTGCACATGGAGGCAAAAATACCATCTTGTACAAATACACACACAGAGCAGTCATTTGACACTTGGGAAACATTTTTCTATAGTGATGAAATTACATTGCAGGTTGGGGTTCCAGTCCACAGAAATCTGATTATCAGTCCTGCTCTGGAGCAGTATTTCTGATCCACATGTAACATGCTTTCATGGGATAACATCCACTTTTACATTCAGGTTTTCTGGGGGAAATGAGTGCCACAGTCATTGAGAAAAGAGCGTGGAGGTGCCTAGAGTTTGGGTCTAACCCATGGCCCTGACTGCAGCCCAGGCTGCCTAGCTCAGAGCAGGCAAGCCTCTGATACGCAGCGACTGCCCCCTACTCCCCAGCCTTGCTGGGACCTCCCAGCGCTCTTCTGGAATGACAAAAGTTTTTTAGGAGACCAGCTGAGCTTCTGGGGTCTTGAAGCTGACTCCCCCCCCACCCCCCCACACATGGATGGAATGGCCACAGTCGGGGTTTCTAAGTCAAGGAGTGCCTGCTTGAGGTGACACAAGTAGTAGAGGAAGGGAAGCTTCTTGAACGCTTGGGTTGGGATGTATGCATTTGGATCTCTAGAGCAGCACAGCCACGCAGAGAACACGTGTGACTAATTCAGAGGGTGTGGCTAATTCTGAGGGCTTGGGTCTCTGGGCATCGGTGGTAGGCTGCAGTGAAAGACAGAGGCATATCGAATTTGTAAGCAGTTTAGAAGTGGTCTTTCTTAACTTGTGATTCATTCATTTATTCATTTATACACAAACATTTTGTGTCTACTAAGTGCTGAGAAACCCAGGCAAAGGGGTGCCACTGTAGAGTTATAATATCATGTAACAAGTGCCATGGTGGGCTCTGCAGAAGGTCCTGCGGAAGTAGAGGGGCTAGAGAATGAGGGGATCAAGAAGGTTTCCCAGTAGAGTGATCTCAATTCATGCCTCACTGGAGGAGTAGGTGGAACAAGGGAACCCTGGTCCAACCCGAGCAAAGCGCGAGTGTAGATGCCACGGAGGTAGGAGGCAGGGAGACGGGCGTGAGTCACGAAGTCATGGCAACTTGGATTAGGCCAAAAAAGGAGTAAAGGAAAAGATGCTTAGGGAGAAAAACTGTCTTTATGTCTGATTTTATATTGTCAGAGTGGGGAAAGGTGTCAAAAAACTTCTCAACTGACTTGAGCACATTTTAAAGGTAGAAAAGAAAGATGATATTGACTCATTCATACTGAGAACCATAAAACGAACAGCGTTTAATGCAAAGTTGTGTGTTTGGCCTGTGGGGGCTCATCTGTGCTTGTCTCTTAGATAGAGAAGCAGCTCAACATGAAGACGCTTTACAAGTGGACCAGCCCTTCCACCATGACGGAAAGGGAAGTTCAAGTGCATATTCCCCGATTCAAACTGGAAATCAAGTACGAGCTGAATTCTCTGCTAAAATCCCTTGGGATGACAGATATCTTCAACCAGGTCAAAGCCGATCTTTCTGGAATATCACCAGCCAAGGGCCTGTATTTATCAAAGGTCATTCACAAGTCATACGTGGAGGTCAATGAGGAGGGCACCGAGGCAGCAGCCGCCACCGGGGACAGCCTCGTTGTGAAAAGACTCCCGATCCGAGCTCAGTTCATGGCAAACCACCCCTTCCTGTTTTTCATAAAGCACATTCAGACCAACATGATTCTCTTCTGGGGCAAGCTTGCCTCTCCCTAAAACACGGTTGAGTAAGGCTCAGAGTCACAGAGGCGGTGCAGGGACAAACCTGTGACTAACAGCGGTTCATCCCTTACACACCTCTTGTGCCTTGGTTTGATCATCTGCAAAATGGGTCTGGATCTCTCAGTCATCCCGTGTGTTGGTGAGCCTTAAGATTGTGGCGATCCTAGAAGAAGGCACATTACAAAGAAGCTTCTCTGGCTCCTGTCTTTGGTGCCTTATTAAAGTGCTGTCTGAGTGATGTGATCAAGTCAATCAGAACAATTTTTAAGGCTTAGATTTTTTGATTTGTATTTATCAGTGAGTTCTTGGGTAATTGGCCAGTCTATCTTCAGACACCAATTTAAGGGCTTCAGCTTTGGTTGGATTTTTAAGTACAATTTTCCTTGTATAAGTAGATATAAATTTTAGTTCAAAACTCTGTATTGACTATAATAAATAGGTGAATGCCTTAAGTTCTTTGAAGATTTTTCATATACTGCAGCAAATAAATGAGTTATGAAGGGAGACTGAATAAGAAGTCTAATTCAATGCACGTTGTAGTGGAATTTCTCACCAAATTTTTGCAGGCCCTACATTTATTAATCGACTTTTCCCCCTCTTCCTTCTTCTCTCCCTCCCTTCCTTTTTCTCTTTCTCTCTTATTTTCTTCTAATAATACAGTGACTGAAGGCTCAGGACAGTAAAAAACAGAAATCAATCAGAAGATAAAAAATGCTTTTAAAGAAAGCTTCCCTATTTTCTACTCAAGAGAATGTGAAGTTGTGTTTAGATACGAGGGGTCATGATGCACTGACACGCCTCCCCAGGCTCCTCTTGGGGAATGGGTCCTTTCTGAGCTCTCTCAGAGGTGTGAACAGGGCAGAGGGGCCCTGACCTCCCCATCTTTAACCCATCTTAGAAGCAGCAGCCCAAGATTGGCCGTTGCTCCCTCCTGAGGTGACTGGTCACCCTTTTGACTACTGATGTGGTGACAGCCAATGACAGCTTTCTCTTTCCCTTCTGAGCACAGAAGGATGAGGCTTCCTTATTGTTCTGGTAATAAAGATATATTATATTTTATTAATATTATATTTATATTATATAAATATATAACTGATATGTTTGTCATATAATATGTAATTTATATAATATATATTACATTTATTAATAAAGATAAGGTAAGCAACAATAAGCAACAATTTCGGCAGAGTTATATGACCAAAGAAAATCTCCTCAAAATAACATAAAATCACCTTGTGCCGCTGTCTTGCTGCACATGGTCTCCTAATGGTCCTTCACCAAGCCTGTGTCATGTGGCATAAAGCCAAGAAGCCCCCCTGGCCTGGCCACTTCAGCAGTCCCGGCATAGCGGGCTTAACTGGGGTGCAGTGGAGGCATGAAGCTACGATGCTGGGTGTAGGAGTATTGGAGTTTCTCGGAACCTACTTTTCAGTTGAGACATCCTGAAGAGACAAGGAATGGGGTCTGTCCAGTGAATGCTGGCTCCTTCTGCATGGCACCTGGGTGTGCAGTGTAGGGGCTCAGAGGCGTCGTGGAGACTGGGCACCCCAGGTGTGGCAGAGCTGCATGGCACTCACTCACTTTGGCTCGGCCTCAGCCGTTAGGCACTCTGGCAGCCCAGCCACATATGCAGTCCCTGAGCCCCAGAGGCCCTTGGAGGGACGGGAGCTGAGCCGACTGTCATCACTTAGAGTCAAAGCCAAGGGTAACTTACAGAGCGGCCTTCTGTACCAGTGCGGGCACTGATACAGGACCAGGGAGACCTGGGAAGCCAGCCTCCGACAGCAGAGCTGGGAGGGCACTGGAGTCTTGCTTCTGAGTCTCTCTGCAGCGTGGGGCCAGGAGGTGCAGGGCACCCAGACCTGGCGTGGGGAGGACACTGCTATTTTTGCTCTTTCAAAGATCTAATGTTTTATGTCAGTTATATTGCAGAAAAAAAATGGGCAGAGTACCTGGATAGACATTTCTCCAAAGAAGACACACAGATGGCCAACAGGTACATGTAAAGGAGCCTAGTATCACTAACCAGGGAAATGCAGATCAAACCACAATGAGATGTCACCTCACACCTGTTGTAAACCTAAAACTGCTCCTAAAGACTATTAATTAAAAAAAAAAGAAGTTGAGAAGAAAAGGAAGAAGCTCTCTCTCCTTTATCTGAATTTCAAAAAACAAGTCTCTAGATTTTTCTCAGATGTTCCCTGATAGTATTTTGCTTTCATTTCTATTGTTTTTATTCCTTCTGGTACTTAAAAGTTCTTCTGAGTTTATCAGTGGTCTTTGTTCTCCTTCTTATTGCAAGAACACTGAGCCTCCAGCGCAGTGTTTGATGCATAAGGTGTCACAGTGACTCAGACAAAATTGCTGCTTTCCTAACAGCATTTACATCCACACCTTAACACACAGGGAAGCCTGGTACCCACCCCCACCCACCATGGTCCATAAATAGCACCAAACCAGGTTTTGAGTCATGGTGGCCAGTGGGGTGTAGGAGGTCAACTTTTATAGGGTCTCTGCTGAGGATGGCTCTTTTATGTAAAATCACTGCACACTTAAAAGACAAAGGAAAAAGTACCACCATTTGGGTGGTGGTACAGTGGGAGATTTGTCTGCTTATTTACTGATAAGTATGGCTTATTTCCTGTCCTTTGAGATCTGTCATTTTTTTCCCCAGAAATTTTCAGGAGCAGAATGGAAAGGCAGAAATGAAGACCCGATGGAGAGACCACTCTTGGGGAAAATCCCCCCCCCTTATTGAGGTGACCCTGTCTATTGGCTAGTAGTTACCAAAGGCAGAGAAAACGGGGTGCTGGCAGGAGGCCCCAGTGCTTCTGGCAACAGAAACCCCTGGGATTGTCTACCGACCCCCATCTTGCTTTGGTGTCCCCACAGTCCTTTGATTCTCTTCCTCAGAGTGCCAGCCACCTTTCTCCTCTGGGAGCTTGCTGGGGAATGCTACTCCTTATCTCTTATTCTGGGGGAGCCTCTTCTTTTTTCTCCCACTGGTGGTGCTTGTTTCTTTGTGTCAATAGAGAAAGCAGAGCACAGTGAGGCACCAAGCCCAGCCTCAACCCCAGACCCCAAAAGGCTCATATACCTCTGGTAGCACCAGATTTGCTGCCCCAGAGTGAGTGACTTTAAAAGATTCTTGTCATTTCATTATTCATTGATACTCTGGTTTGTTTCTTGAAGAACTATTTTTTGAATGCCTACTAAGTACCAAGCACCATGTTAAGCCATAGATATATATAGTGAAATTTGAAGCCCTTGTCTTCATAAGCTTTTATTTTAGCAGAGAAGACAGATTTCAGAAAACCAGTGCCACTTGGTTGCTGGTGCTGTGAGAAGGCTGTTCAGGCCAAGGGCAGGCAATGAGGACAGAGTGATGGGTGGGGGCCCTGGGTGGAGAGGGCCCTGCAGCCCTTTCGGGGAGTGAGGGCTCTCCCCTGAGGAAAGTGGCTTGATCAGATTTGCTTTCCAGTAGATCACGTGGGCTTCCGCGTGGCCATCTGTATGGCGGCAGAGCATTGTAAGCTACATGACCTAAGTTGCAAAGGAGAATTGCCCATGTTCATAATCACTTTGGCAGGACAGAACAGTTCAGAAGTGGGGATAAAATGCCTGTCCATGGTTTATTTTGGTTATATGCAGATAGCACCTTTGGCAATATAGGTGTGGCAATTAAAGGTACCATTCAGACACTTAACTGTGTGATGGAATTGTCCAGTAATGTGGGCATGAGTCAGCGTTACCCACAGCAGCTCTGATACATCCATGCAAAGAATTCCCCGGTTGAGCCCCCAGACATCTCTGACCGTCAGTGCTGGAAAGACCCTTTGTTAAGAGGAGGTAATAAAGCTATTGGCTGATGTTTGCCAGGCTGAGATTCAGTAGGGTTTCCATGTTTCTATATGCAATCTACAGATCTGTTTTTTAAATGCTGTTTGCCATCAATTAAACCTTTGTGTGACCTTGTGTAGCCAGTGTCTCCCAGGCCACCTGGAGCTGACCGTCCCTTCCTGCGTTTGATCTCACTGGGTGTCCTTCAGGACGCCACTCCTCATTCCCCGAATCCTCCGTGGGATTCCCTGCTGTGCCCCTGCTTGTGGTTGGCTCAGTGGGGAGCCTGCTCCCCTTTGGCCCCGCAGAGCAGTGGTGAAGCCTATGACCTTGCCAGCAGGTCCATGAAGGTGCCACCCTGTGCTGGCACTGCGTCACAGGGTCAAGTCCTCCTCAGCTCCTGGCCCTGCTGCTCCTGTCCGAGCGCCCAGTGATTTGGTGTGGGAGGGAGTTCAGTGCTCTCGGCACCAGCTGAGGTGGAAAACTCTCGCCACCTGTTCACTGTAGCCCATTGCACCATTCCCAGCAGGGCTGCATCGCTCTCCCAGTTTGGTTCAGGGGTAGAGTCGAGGCTCTTTGAAATGTCCCATGAAGTCTTCTCCTCCCTGGGCCTCAGGCTTGAGTGTTGGAGGAACACGACCTGAGCACACGGGGGCTGCCCGTACACTTGCCTGTCATCTCCACCCTGAGCCACTGTCCTGGCATCACAGATGCCCTGACTCCTCCTGAGCACGAGTTCTTTCCAGGATGCTCCTTGCTGCTTCACACAGAGGGGCCACCCTGGGCTCCCTCACCACCTCTTCATTCATGCCCCCCACCTCAATTTCTGCATGACCACAGGGGTTCATCTGGGACCCTGTCCACGCTCCTAATTTCCACTTAACAGCTCCACGCTTCTATCTAAACTGCAACCTCAAAACACGATTGTAATTCCCCTCCCCTGTTCTGCTCCCTCAACAGCACTTTTCTCATTATATATTTTATTCTGTTTATTGACAATGTCTTCCAACTAGTATGTGAACTTCTTGGAGACAGATTTTGTTTTGTTTTGCTTTTAGGTCTTTTTTGCTGTCCTAGTGCCAAAATGCCTAGAACAGAATGATGCTCAATACACACTTACTAAATGAACTGGGGAATTCATTCCTTAACTATTTCACTGCTTTGAGTTTCTACTGTTTCCTAGAGCTGGAGGATGAGGAATATTGGTCTGAGTGAGATACGCTGGATGGATGCTAATCCAGTGAACTTGGCCCATGGCAGAGCTCAGCTGCCAACTCAAACAGGATCATTCTGAAATTAAATTAAGATGGCTCCATGCTGCAGTGTGGGGAAAAATTTTTTTTCTGCATATATGGTTTATTCTGATAAAAGAGATGAAAGAGCCTATATATTCTCATGTGCATCAGATGTTTTGAGGTACCCCTTGTTTTGAGCTGGGTTCCCCAGAACATAAGCTATAGTTTACAGTTGGGGAGAGCCGGTGACTACTCAGGGTCAGCCTCTCTGTTGTAGTGACGCTCACAAGAGGAAGGGGGTTTCCAGCCTGTCCAGGTGGACACAGGGTGTTGACAACAGGGAGATGGGCTGCTTGGTGGCTGCTGGGTTGTTAACACCACTCAAATCAAGTACAATTGTCAGGGATGGTGAAGGGTCTCTGGCACCTCCAAAACAAAGCTTTATGGCGTTCAGTAATGAAACCAGTTCTGCCGACTATTCAG